GGCCCCGCCCCCGCTCTCGGCCCCGCCCCCGCTCTCGGCCCCGCCCCCGCTCTCGGCCCCGCCCCTCACGGCCCCGCCCCCGCTCTCTGTCCCGCCCCTCACGGCCCCGCCGCAGCCCCGGCCCGTCCCGGCAGAGCCTCCTCGGCCCCTCCAGGGAAGCGGCATCTCCTGGCTGCGGTTCTGCTACACCGGGGCCGAGCCGCCCCGAGCCCCGCACTCGCGTGTTCCCCCTCGGAGCCCCGGCTCCCCGCGGGGCCGCCGTGACACGCAGTGGGGCGGGGGTGCCGGGGGGTTCGGAGCACGGCCCTCCGCTGTGTCCGGCAGCCCTACCCTGCTCCACGGCCCCTCCGCTCGCTCTGGCCCCGCCACAGAGGGTCGGGAGGCCGGGACACGGGGACGAGCTGTGGGGCAGCCGCGGCAGGACGGGCTGGAGCTCCGGTCCAGCCAGAACAGCACCACGCAGAGCTGGGGGGTCCCTGCCTTCACCCACCCTCAGCACGGGCAGCACGGCGCTGTTTTATCCAATTGCACAACTACTCTCTTTACTGCAAGCATTTCCATGCATCTTCACTTCCAAAACTGGTCAGGAATTCCTAACCTGCACACCTCCTACAAAAAGAAAATTACAGTACTTTTGGCTTCCAGATCTGCTGGACTCCATAGTGAGATGTTAACCAGTATCACACCTACACGGTTTAGCACCACAGGCTACAGCTGGGCCACAGAACCCGAGCAGGACACAGATTTGCCCCAGCAGTAACCCCAGGAGCAGAGACCCCAGGTCTCCCAAGCAGCTCCACGGATGTGTCCACAGGGAACAACTGCTTTTGCAAAACAAAGTCAATTCACCAGTTCCAGGCAACAGAAACCCCCCGACTTGCAGCTCCCATAACACAGAGACCCCACCAGGCCCTGAGCCCTCTGCCCCAGCCCTGGCTGCATGTGCAACTATTCCAGCAGTCCCTGGGCATTTGGCAGGCAGCAATCGAAGGACAGGGCAGCACAGCACAGAACAGCAGCTCTCACCTGGCAGGCAGCAAGTGCAGTTCAGTGTCTCAGCAGTTTAGCTTGAAAGATCTGGGTCCTGCTTTTCAGCAACACCTTCACAAAGCAGAAAGCTGCGTGGTTCCTTCTGTGAGAACAGCTACATTACACACCTGAAATGCTCCTGAACATTTATGAACTCTTGAAGTGCTCTCATTACAAGTACAAAACAATTGCCAGAAGGCAGGTCTGTTTGAATTTCCTATGACAGGAAGCTCACCATGACAGAGGGACAATATGGTGCTGCAGCCGCCTGTAGCCTCCCTGAACAAGGCAGGGTGTGCAGAAAAACAGGAAACACAAATCTGTTATCTCCACCTCAATCCATCTAGAGTATCAACCTATATCCTAACAGTGGTTTTCTGTTATGCTTTAAAAATGGTTTAAAGAATAAAATCTAATTGCACTTGGTGTAATTCATTTGAGCTTCAGCTAAAATCATAGCACAGCATGTCCTGAGGTGAAAGGGACCCACAAGGATCATCAAGTCCAACTCTTGGCACTGCATAGGACACCCCAACAATCCCACCCTGTCCCTGAGAGCATTGTCCAAACGCTCTTTGAGCACTGGCAGCCTTGGTGCTGTGACTACTGCCCTGGGGAGCCTGTTTTGGTGGCAGAAATGATTTGGGCCCTATCTGTAACATGCTGGTTTCTGCTGTAGTACAATTATTTAATTTCTTACTGTCCAGACACTCATTTCAGTTGGACCTTGCAGAGCAAAAAGCTAAAGAAAAAATAAGGGTAGTTAAGTATGAGGTGTGCTTTTACTCCCAGGTTTTGTCAAGCAGATGGTTTCCTTCTTCAGAGCAGAAAAGCCTCCTGAGTCACACATGCAGGCAAGGCTCCCCAAGTTACAGTTTTATTGGAAATGTTCAAAAGCTCTAGAAACAAGATCACCTCTAGTACAAATATAGATTTAAATGCACAAACTAAAAAATAAAAAAATCTTTTCATGATTACTGTACATTAGTGGAATGGCTACCCACTTTGTGAACGAATAGAAGGGAAGCTGAGTTAGGAGAAACAGCTCTAGAAACAAAGATTAGAAAGAGGCTCCTCTTTCTAACAGGCATCTTTTAAGGAGCCAAAACAATATGAAGGTTCTGAAACTTTGAGGATTTCACTTTTCCCGTGTCTATTTAGGCTTTCAGTCACATGGTCACAGCATAGAATCAAGTCCAGTTCACAGAATCCTGCACATTCTGCTTGTCCTGGAATTCCATGAGGAAGCAGTCGCAGAGTAACTGGGACCTTCTACAAAGAGCAAAGACCATCCTCCACGTCACTGAGCTTGGCAGGGTATCTTGAAACATAGATAAGCATTTTTTGGAACTAAAATTAGCTGGAGGGAACTTCACTCAGCATCCGTTGACTTATAGTGATCATCATCCACCGTGGAGTAGATGTGTCCCTCGCTGCTGAGGAATTCCACGGCTTGCCTTGAAGAAAACCCCACAATTGATAACCAGTTAGCAATTAATTAGCAAATGTCACCACCTTTCTGCCAGGGATTTCCCATTTACAGATCCCATCCCCACAGTTCCCTCCTGGCAGCTGCCAAGGGAAGCTCTTGATGGCTCTGTCCTGTGAGCAGTGTAGGTGATGCACGGAGTTTCTCCAAAGCTGTGACAATGTGCTCCCCCCACAGCTCAGACTCTGCCTGTCACAGGGGAAAAGGGCACCACTCTCTGTACTTCCCAGGTAAAAGCAGGTCATGGATGTTAACGACTATGTTTCTAGGCCTCAAGGAAAAGTTATAAGTGATAGCAAAGGAGAACAGAACAGACTATTCCTAAGTGTTCAGTGTGCAGAGAGCAAGGTAGTCCCTGAACAGGAGAAATACTACCAAAGCACTGCAGTACACCCAAGTACCTGTTGCCACTGAACTGATAAACAGACTGTTTTGAAAACAGGGGAGCAAAGCATTTGTCACACCTTCAACTGGCAATGGCTCATTCGGGGCTGTGAAGCCTTCAAAAGCTCTGACTCACTGCTCCATGCTGCTGGGGCCACCTGGATTACCCACATTGATTCACAGGTGAGTGCCCGGGCTTGTCCACTGTCCTCTCTGCCTCTGAAAGGACTGCCTGGATTTCCAGAACCCCCTTCATTTCTACACACTTACTTGATCGTTGACATGCTCATACTGCGGAGCTGAAGTTTCAGTTCTTGCAGGCTCATACCTTCTGGGACAGGGCAGCTTTTTATCAAGTTCAGTACCTGGAGAAGCAAGAACCACCATTAGCACAGAGCTCAGATTCTCTATCAGCAAGGCTGAGCAGATCCATCATCTTCAAAAAGTGATGGAACTTGCATTTCCCTGCCCTACATCACACATCACACCCTGGCAGCCTCCACTGCCCCTGCTGTGCTCCCAGAAAGGCTGCTGGCACCCACCTGGCTCTGGTGTGCCGTGAGCCCGTTCACTGGCAGGCTGCCACCTCCTCCGTAGCCCCCCATGTCACTGATCCCAGCGGAGAACGACGGCGGCGCACCCGACGCTGACTGAAATCATGAGAGGAGAAGGGCTGTGGTCACCTGCCTGCCAAACCCACGGCAGTAAAGACTCTGAGACAGTAATTTAAAATAGCTTCTCATGGAACTGGACTGCAACACAATCTCTCTCCAAGGAAGCCAGGACTTCTGTTACACCCTCACTATAGCCCAGCTTTAAGCTTTCCAGACCCACAATTTCCCCAGCAAAGCCAGAGGTCCCTCTTTGGGAAATCACAAATCACCCAGGAAGGGCCACAATGGAATTGGGATCTTTCTACATACCATAAGATTTTTTCTGAGGATCATATGTGCATTGACAATCTCTAGTATGTGCGTGGTGAACTCATTCATATTTTCCAGAGGCATGATCTTAAATGCCACCAAGCTCTTCTTATTCTTTCAGAGGAAAAAAAAAACCACCAAAAAACAAAGAAAACAATTTACATCACAGCAACAGGAAGATGCAAAACAACCAACCCAGCCATTCCCTCCAGGAATGGGACAGTGGTGGAATGAGAGCTTCTCTGCATGCAGCTAGTCCACAATGTTCTGACCTCCGTCTTGTGCTGCTTTTGGCTGGGATAGAGTAGCATGGACTGGTTTTGGACTTGTGCTGGAAACAGTACTGGTAACACAGGGATGTCTTAGTCATTGCTGACCAACATTTGCACAGAGCCAAGGGCTCTCCTGCTTCTCACACTGCCCCACTGGTGATAGGCGGGGGGGGCACAAGGAGCTGGGAGGTGACACAGCTGGGCCCCCCACTGCCCAAGGGACATTCCAGACCATACAGTGTCATGCTCAGTATATAAAGCTGGGGAAAGGAGGAGGAAGAGGGGATGTTTGGACTGATGGCATTTGTCTGCCCCAGGCACTGTTCCACGTGAAGAGCCCAGCTCTCCTGGAGATGCTGCACACCTGCCTGCCCATGGGAAGTGCGGAATGAATTCCTTGGTTTGCTTTACTTATTAAACTGCCCCTATCTGAACTCATTGGTTATCTCACTTTGACCCTTCTGATTCTCCCCCATCCCACCAGGAGTGAGTGAGCAGCAGCAGGGGGAGGAGGAGGGGCTCAGGTGCCCTCCAGAGTTAAACTACAACATGTTTTCAGATGTGATTTTGTAAAGCAGTGGAGATAGAGTCACTTCTCCTTCTAACCAGCTGGACTTTCCTTTAATGCATGCACCATTACTTGAATATTTAGTTATGAGGCAACCACATCACGTAATGTGCTACAAGAAGTGTCCCCATGAACCAGAACCTGGTCTAAGCTCAACAGTACAAACACCCCAGAACCTGGTGGCCTTCTGCTCTGCTGAAAACAACACACTGATGATGAGGGGCATTTTAAGTGAGTCCTCATTTTTAATGGTCCTCTGCATTCAGGAAAAATTAAGAGTGTTATTAAATACAGCCCTAGCAGAGACACTGAAGGATTTGTTCAGAGGAAAGGATAAGCAAGAGACCATGTTTAAGTGGACATTCTAAAGCAGCCCACTAACACTGAGCCAGATCTCCAATCCTTCACGGCCTGGACTCAGACACAGGTGACATGGTCTTACCTGGAACGAACGCAGGTGACCAGCTACTTTGACGTAAGTTCCTGGAGGTACCACAACATTCTCACCTCCTGCCTCCTAACAGAGAGGGAAAGGAGAGGTTTGCTGATTCACATTTCCATTTCTCAATTATCACAATAAATGACTCAGCAAAGGAGGCTCATCTCAAGCAAGCACAAACAACGTGCATTCCTATGTCCAGTAAGAGCAGTTAGATAAACATAATTGTAAATGAAAAATAAAAGCATTTACACACTGGAGAGCAGTCAGAGCCAGTTGTCAGCTCTGCTGTTTCTGTCCACTTATGAGAGATTCTCAGAGCAACAAGAGGAAAAGACTCTTGAATAGTAAAAAAGCAGGTGTTCAATTCCATAACCTGGCTGGGGAATGGGGCAGGCCAGAGCCACTTCTGAACCCAGGATAAACTCGCAGAAAGCCAATTGAATGTCTGACTGATTACCCTCCCAAAGCTATTCAACTGAACTCAGCTGTAAAAAACAGCTGAGGGGACAGCGAGTAACCTGTGTTACAGCAGCATCTCCCTTGGATTTCAGGGACATATTATTCCTAAAACACTTCTCAGAAAAGCTACATCTTTTTGATAAAAAACCTCTGTGAGATGCAGAGAGCTGGTCTTGTTGATCCCTACAGGTCCCTTCCAGTTGAGACACTGTACTATTCTATAACTTTTCTCTCCCCACCGCTCTTCTCAAAGGCTGTCAAAGAAGCGTGTTCAGAGCAAATCCGATACTTACATCGGTGTCAACCCATTGCCTGACGTCCATCGGCGCTGCTGTCATGTCGTCCACTTTGTAGAGGATGTTGGTGGGTGCCTTCTCCGCGTGCCGGACGATGCCCACGACGGTGACCTGCGGGGAGGGTGGAAGGTTGCCCGGGCCGCCCGCGGGTCTCGGGGCCGCCCTGCCCGCGGCCGCCCACCTGCGAGATCTCCACGTCGCAGATCCGGAATGTCTCGTCGACCTGTTCCGCCGCCAGCAGCTGCGACACCGTGCAGGGCACGATGTTCTGCGAGCGGCTCCGCTGCGAGGGGCGGCGGAGCGTCAGGGCCGGCTCGGTCCCGGCAGGACCGGCCCCGGCCTCGGCCGCCCCCCGCCCGGCCTACCTGCTTCTTCTCCGCCTGGGCGCCGGCGGGCGACCCGAACCCCCCTGGGGACTGCAGGTAGCCGCCCGGGGGCCCCGCGCCGCCCACGGTGCCGTACCCGCCGTCGAAGTTCCCTGAGGGGAGAAGGCAGAGACCGTGAGGCGGTGGCGTGGTCCCCGTCCCCACTGCTGCCGCCATCACGGCCTCGAGCGCCCCGTCCCAGCGGCCCCCGGTGCCCCGTGCCCCTGCCCCGTGTCCCGTGTCCCCGTCCCGTCCCCACCGTGCCCGCTCCACATGGCTCCGCACGGATCGGCCGCCACCGGCCCGCGCGCGCCGACCCTCCGCGCGCCGCCCGCGCCTGCCCAATCCGGGAGCGCCGCTCTGCCGGTCGGCGACCAATCGCGACCCTCCGTCTTCCGGCTCCGTCCAATAGAGAGAGGCCGTGGCGAAGCCGCCGGCGCCATTTTGAGAGCAGGCGATGCCCGGCCCCACCGCGGGGGGGGCGGGGCCGAAGGGGCGGGGCCAGGGCACAGGTGACAGGTGGGGCACGGGCGGGGGAGGGACAGAGCACAGGAAAGCACAGCAGAGCACAGCACAGGGCACAGCAGAGCACAGCAGAGCACAGGAGAACACAGGAGAACAGAGCACAGCACAGGGCACAGCAGAGTACAGGAGAACAGAGCAGAGCGCAGAGCACAGAGCACAGCAGAGTACAGGAGCACAGAGCACAGCACAGAGCACAGCAGAGCACAGAGCGCAGGGCACAGCCCAGGGTGCCCCCATGCAGCCCCTGGCTCAGTCCGTGGCACTGCTGCTGCTGTGCCCGCTGGCCGCGGCCCTGCCCGGTGCTCGCGGGCGGTTCTGGCACGTCACGGACCTGCACTGGGACCCCGAGTACGAGGCGGCGGCGGCGGCGGGGCGGCCGTGCCCGTCGGGCAGCGCCCGGTCCGGTCCCGCGGGGCCCTGGGGCAGTTACCTGTGCGACGCGCCCTGGGCGCTGCTCCGCTCGGCCGCGCGGGCCATGCGGGACCTCCTGCCCGCGCCCGACTTCGTGCTCTGGACCGGGTGAGGAGCGGCCGGGCCGGGCGGGACAGGGAAGGGCAGCGGAACCCGTACGGAGCCCGAGGGGGGTCAGGGCTCTTTCCGTGGTCCCCACTTTGGAGAGGGGAGGGGGGAATGTGCCTCGTAACGAAGAACGAGGGCGTGGGGAAGAGCACAACCCCAGCGAGGGCTCTCAACGCCTGCAAGAAGCTCCGATGCGCCCTGGCAGTGAGAGGCAGTGAGGTGATGGAAGGATCACAACTCACGGTCCATCCTGGGCTTGTTCATCCTGCCCAGCCCTGTCTGACTCCACGGTGACTCTGAGTGCCTGGAACGCCCAGGGAAGGGGCTGTGGGCTGTGTGTTACACCAGGTCCTGCCGGTCAGAGCAGTGGGAGGAGAGTGTTGCAAACCAGGCTTGTGGCATTTCTTCTGGCTGCAGTTGAGGCACCTGGGAGACCTGTCTCAAAAAGGGGCTGTTTTGCTTTAGGAGTAGGAGTTCTCTCCTGTCATGATCTCCAGAAGTGGGTTCCCGGTCCCTCAAGTGCACTTACTGCCTCAATAGCGCTTACAGTAAAAGCTGTATTTTGCATGGTGATTGTAAGTGTGTATGGCCTTTCTTCTGCCAGTACAACCTTAACCTGCAATCTGCTGCACCCTCCAGTTCCAGGAGGCTGTTGCCTGACGTCATGTTTTCATTTTCTGTCCCTGGAGATGCGCGTTGCTGCTTAGATGTAGTTATTGCTTGTTGTGACCTTGTGTTGAGCATTCTTTTTCCTCAAACAATTTCTCCCAGTTCTCTCCCATGATTTCAAATGTTGATTAACTAAAAAAGCCATGAGTGTGTCAGTGCAAACACAGACGTGTGTGTCTGGGGCACTTTGGAGCAGCCCTGGATTGCTGCCTTACTGGAGGTGTTCCCTTGTTTCATGGTGATCACAGCTGTGCAAACAGCTCTGCTTCACTATTGCTGATCAGATGGTGCCCTCAGATTGCGAAGTGCTGATCCTGGCAATATTTCCAGGCAGCTTTAGTGCCTGTGACATGCCCTGAGGCAGAGGGAGCCTCCCCTTTACACCCTTGAATTCAGGGACCTTTTAAGGTCAAGTGAATCACAGAGTATCCTGAGCTGGAGAAGACCCAGAGGGATCATCAAAGTCCCACTCCTGGCCCTGCACAGGACACTCCAACAATCCCACCATTGCCTGAGAGTGGTGTCCAAAGGCTCCTTGAGCTCTGGCAGGTTTGGAGTGGAGCTTGTTTTCTCCCTGTGCAATTCCTTGAAACTCCCTCAGTACCCTGACCAGTCAACATAGCACTGAATTCTGCCCCCAAAAGCTTCAACTGTCTCTTCTAGGAGGCATAGAGAGAAGTCAGCAAGTTTCTGTGCCTTGCTCATCACTGTGAGTACAGGTCCTGTCACTCCCAGACAGTGACTGTGCTGCTGCTTTTTTTTTAGAGATGACACTCCCCATGTCCCCAATGAGCAGCTCGGAGAAGAAAAGGTTCTGCACATAATAGCAAAACTGACTTCTCTGATAAACGAGACATTTCCAGGTAGGATTTGAGGGGATGAGAAGGGGAGAGGAGCACAGAGACTCATGGGAAGGGCTTACCAGGGTGGAGAAATGACAGAATTGGGACAGGGAAAGGCACAGAAGGGCTGTGGTCACTGGGACTTGTTTGTCCTCTTCCCAGTGGCCTCAATTCTGATGTGCCTCATGCATTGATGCACTTTCATGTTCCAGGTTAGCTCACTCAGGAGAGAGGAAAATAAAGGTTTCTGTTATTAGCCATTAAGGCAGAAGAAACTGCAAGATTCTCTCAGACATAACCCCTGTCAGCAAGAGAGAAGGGGTGTTACTGCTGTGGCAGCTCAGGGACTCGGCTGGGGGGGCTCATCCCGAGGGGGGTCAGAGCTGAGTGGTGCCTCTGGTCAGTGTGGCCCCAGGGCAGGGGGTGGGTGACTGGCCCTGGCAAAGCCTGGGCCTTGAGTGCCCCGGGGAGCTCTGGGGAGCTCTGCAGCACTGACTCCTCTGCTCCTCCTTTGCTCTCTCTCCAGGTACTAAAGTCTACGCGGCGATGGGGAATCACGACTTCCACCCCAAGAATCAGTTTCCCGGGAAGGAGCACAGGATCTACAACCAAACAGCGGAACTGTGGCGGCCCTGGTTGAATGAAGCCTCCCTTCCTCTCTTCAGAGCAGGTCTGGCACCACTGGCTCATGTTGGCAGCACTCTGGGGAGATGGGGAAGGGTAGGAGAATACCATGACCAGTTTTCCTTGCCTCAGAGCTCAGAGCATCAGTATTCATAGAGGATTGGCAGAGGAAGGGTCCAATTTAATGCTGATTTCTGGCATGGAGTTCTGCTTGCAAGAAGATAAATTTTTTTATACTTTAGTCTCTCCTGTCATTGTCAAGTTACTGGAAAGAATGCAGAGTGGTGAGCTGCACAAGGAGGAAAAGGATCTTTAAAGGTACCAGCTGGGGCAGGCAGTGCTGTGCCTCTTCACAGCTGCCCACTCCTGGTGCTGCCCGCTGTCCCCATGCAGGTCTCCCTTCAGTGGGACAGGCACAAGCATGACAAGAGGCACACAGGGAAGAGTTACCCCAAACACCCATCCTGGAGTGGGCAGAGCACTGCTGGTGCCTGGTCCAGGCAGTGACCCTGCTGTGGCTATTGCTAAGGAGAGCAGAGAGAGGTGGAAACAAAGGGATCTGGGATCACAGCCACCAGTGTGACCAGACCTCCAGCTCTTTCCCTGTCGTGTTTTTCAGGAGCTTTCTACAGTGAGAAGCTGCCCAGCCCAGGGACAAGAGGGAGGATGGTTGTCCTCAATACCAACCTGTACTATGACCAGAATGACGAGACAGCTGCTGAGGAGGATCCTGGGGGGCAGTTCCAGTGGCTGGAAGAAACACTGACCAATGCCTCCAGAGCAGATGAAATGGTATTAACAAAGGAAGGGATAAACAATCGCTGTAGAGAGCTCCTCCCAGCCCTGCTCTCCCCTCGGGGCAGTCACAGCCACGGGGCTCTGTGGGCAGCATGAGCTCTGTGCTCAGGGCAGCTCTTGCTTCTCCAGGTCTACATTGTGGGGCACATCCCTCCCGGCTTCTTTGAGAAGAAACGAGGCAAGGCCTGGTTCCGGAGGGGCTTTAACGAGCGGTACCTGGGCATTGTGCAGAGGCACCACAGGGTGATTGCTGCCCAGTTCTTTGGGCACCATCACACCGACAGCTTCCGCATGTTTTACAGCGACACAGGTACCAGTTCTGCTCACCCCAGCACCTGTGTGACAGCTCTGCCAGCTCCCGGAATCACTGTCCATTGGAGGTTTCAGTGGCTGTTGGCTGAAGGCAGCTGAGTAGCCAGCAAAGGCTTGTGAAATGCTCTGGGCAACAAGAGGCATCAGTGGTTCTCATCTCCACCCCCAACCTGTAGCTCCTGACCTCCTTCCCGTTCATCCTTAAATGTTGTTTCCCCTCGATGACTGGCAGCTTCTTGCCTGTTCCCTGTGCAGGGGTTTGGGCATGGCTGAGGTGTGAGGGGGCAGTGCTGGCTCTCTGTGTTGGGGTGCTGCAGAGTGCTCTGGGCACAGGGGGTGGTTCCCCGGCCACCCTCACTGCAGGAGCCCTTGCCCGCAGTGGAAAGCCTGTTCCAGGCTGCAGGAGCCCCATGTTCAGACCTGATGCTGCTCCATGTGCTGATCTTTGTGTGCACCAGGGGCTGGTGACACAGATGCTCTTGGACAGTGCCATCAGCTCCAGGTGCTCGCTGTGATGGGGACAGGGTGTGGGGCAAGCCAAGCTCTCCAGTTACAGGTTACTTTGCCTTTCTGTGAAGGTTCTCCAATCAATGTCATGTTCCTGGCCCCTGGAGTGACTCCCTGGAAAACAACATTACCTGGAGTGAACAATGGAGCCAACAACCCTGGGATTCGGGTGATCGACTATGATCTGGACACCCTTCAGGTGTTGGTAGGGGATCCCCTGTGCTGCACACTGCAGCTCTGGAAGAGAACTTCTGTTTCTCCCTGTGGTCAGAACAGGCAGGACCACAGGAGCTGAGCAGCTGTGTGGAAGGGGACCCTGACTCGGGATATTTCAGCCTCGTGTCTGGCACAGATATTTAGTCAGAGTGTCAGTGAGTTGAGGCCCAGGCCCCCAGAGCCAGTGCATCCTG